AACAAAGATATGAATTTATTAAAAATCAAAAGTTGGAAAAAACTACATCAAGCTAACAACTACCAAAAAAGAGCAGGAGTGGCAATACTAATTTCAGATAAAACAGACTTTAAAACAAAATCCACCATAAAAAACAAAGAAGGACACTATATAACGATTAAGGGGACGAGCCATCATGAAGACATGACCATAATAAACATCCACGCAAGCAATGACAGAACTCCAAAATACATAAAGCAAACTAACAGTACTAAAAAGAGAAACTGACAGTTACACAATAATAGTAGGAGACTTCAACACACCACTCTCAGTAAAGGACAGAACAACTAAAAAGAAACTCAGTAAAGATACAGATGACCTAAAGAGCACAATCAGCCAACTTGACCTCATAGACATATATAGAACACTTTATCCAACAGCTGCAAAGCACACATTCTTTGCCAAAGCACATGGAACGTTTTCCAGAACACACCACATCTTAGGCCACAGAGCAATCCGCAGCAAGATCCAAAATGTTGAGATAATACAAAGTATCTTCTCTGACCACAATGCCATCAAGGTAGAAATTAACAACAGAAAGAGCAAGGAAAAAAATATCAACTACATGGAAACTGAGTAACACCCTGCTTACAAACCACTGGGTAACAGAAGAAATCAGAGATGGAATTGAAAACTTCCTAGAATCAAACGAGAATGAAAACACATCATACCAAAACCTTTGAGATACAGCAAAGGCAATCATCAAAGAATAATTTATAGCAATAGATAAACACATCAAAAAAGGGACAAAATCAAAACATTAATACACAACTCAAACAGAGAACAGCCAAAAAAGCCCACAGCCACCGAAAGAAAGGAAATAATAAAGATCACAGCAGAAATAAATGAAATAGAAAATAGAAAAACAATAGAATCAACAAAACCGTAAGTTGGTTCTTTGGAAGAATCAACAAAATCGACAAACCACAGGAGAGGATGCAAAAGAAAAACAGGAGAGGACACAAATAACCCAAATAAGAAATGAAATGGGTGACATCACAACAGACCCAACTGAAAAAAGATCATAACAGAATATTATGAAAAACTATACTCCAACAAATTTGAAAACCTAGAGAAGATAGACAAATTTCTAGAAACACACTACCTACCCAAACTACAACAAAGTGATGTTGAATATCTGAACAGACCCATAACAAGAGAAGAGACTGAAAAAGAAATTAAAAAAAACCCCAACAAAAAAAAGCCCTGGCCCACATGGCTTCACTAAAGAATTCTACAAAACATTCAGAGAAGAGCTTGTACCAGTACTACTCAAGCTATTTCAGAGCACAGAAAAGGAAGCAACACTTCCAAATTCATTCTATGAAGCCAGCATAAACTCGATACCCAAACCAGGCAAAGACACCACAAAAAAAGAGAATTACAGACCAATATCTCTCACGAATACAGATGCAACAATTCTCAACAAAATTCTAGCCAACAGAATTCAGCATCATGTCAAAAAAAAAATAATAATACACCACAACCAAGAGGATTCATATCAGGTAAGCAAGGATGGTTCAACATTAGAAAATCAATCAATGTAATCCACCACATAAATAAAAGGAAAGAAAAGAATCACACAATCATCTCAATTGACGCAAAAAAGGCATTCGACAAAGTCCAACACCCATTCCTGATAAAAACTCTCAATAAAATAAGTATAGAAGAGAAATTTCTCAACATAATAAAGAGCATCTATGCAAAACCAACAGCCAACATCATTCTTAATGGAGAGAGGCTGAAAACATTCCGCTTGAGAACAGGAACAAGACAATCATGCCCTTTATCACCAATCCTATTTAACATTGTACTAGAAGTTCTAGTTAGAGCAATAAGGCAAGAAAAAAAAAAAAGCATCCAAATTGGTAAAGAAAAAGTTAAACTATCTCTGTTTGCGGATGATATGATACTATACATAGAATACCCTAAAGACTCCATGAGAAATCTACTGAAACTAAGAGAAAGATTCAGCAGAGTAGCAGGATACAAGATAACCATACAAAAATCACTTGGATTCCCATACACCAATAAAGAGAACGATGAAAAGTAAACTAAGAAAACAGTACCGTTTATAACAGCCCCTGGAAAAAAAATACTTAGGAATAAATCTAACCAAGGATGTAAAAGACCTATACAAAGAAAACTGCAAAACACTACTGCAAGAAAACCAAAGGGATCTACATAAATGGAAAAACATACCATGCTCATGGATAGGTAGACTCAACATTGTGAAAATGACAATTTTACCCAAAGTAATTTACAAATACAACGCAATCCCGATCCAAATACCAACAACATTCTTCAAAGAGGTGAAAAAACTAATCATTAACTTTATATGGAAAGGGAAGAAGCCCCAAATAAGTAAAGCACTACTAAAGAAGAATAAAGTTGGAGGAGTCACACTACCAGACCTCAGAACCTACTATACAGCTATGGTAGTCAAAACAGCCTGGTACTGGTACAGCGACAGATACATTGACCAATGGAACAGAATTGAGAACCCAGATGTAAATCCATCCACCTACAGTCACCTGATCTTCGACAAGGGCCCAAAATCCATCAAATCGCGAAAAGACAGTCTTTTTAACACATGGTGCTGGCAAAACTGGATATCCATCTGCAAAAAATTGAAACAGGACCCATACCTCACGCCATATACAAAAACTAATTCAAAATGGATCAAAGACCTAACTATAAAGCCAAAAACTATAAAGCTCATAGAAGAAAAAATAGAACCAACGCTACAGGCCCTACTACGCGGCACTTACAGGATACAAACCATAACCATCAACACACAAACCCCAAGATAAGTTAGATAACTGGGATCTTCTGAAAATCAAACACCTATGCTCTTCAAAAGCTTCACCAGAAGAGTAAAAAGAGAACCTACAGACTGGGAAAAAATTTTTGAACAGTATAAGTCAGATAAAGGTCTAATCTCCAAAATCTACAAAAAAATCGAACACCTCTACAACAAAAAAAAAGATAATCCTATTAAAAAATGGGCAAAGGAAATGAACAGACACTTCACCAAAGAAAACAAGCTGCCAACAGACACTTGAGGAAATGATCGCCATCGCTAGGCATTAGAGAAATGCAAATTAAAACAAAATGAGATGCCATCTCACCCCGGCATTACTGGCACCAGTCAAAAACACTGGAAAAAACAAATGTTGGAGGGGCTGCGGGGAGATTGGAACTCTTATGCACTGCTGGTGGGAATGCAAAATGATACAACCATTTTGGAAAATGATATGGTGCTTCCTTGGAAAGCTAGAAATAGACATACCATTCGATCCAGCAATCCCACTCCTAGGAATATATCCTAGAGAAATAAGAGTCGTTACTCAAATAGACATACGCACACCTATGTTCATGGCAGCATTGTTCACAACAGCAATAAGATAGAAACAACCAAGACACCCATCAACAGATGAATGGATAAACAAACTATGGTACATACACACAATGGAGTACTATGCAAGGATAAAGAACAATCAATCTGTGAAGCATCTCATGTATGAAACTGGAAGACATTATGCTGAGTGAAGTAAGTCAATCACAAAAGGACAAGTACTGTATGAGACCTCTATTCTAAAAAGCCATGAAAAACTTTACACACAAAAAGTAACAATCTTTGTTGGTTACCAGGGATGGGAAGGGGCGGGGGAAATACTAAATAGGCAACAGATAAGTGGTACCTTTGGTGAAGGGTGAGACAGTACACAATACTGGGGAAACCAGCACAACTTGTACAAGGAAAGGTCATGGTAGCTCCATAAACACATCCAAACTCCCTGAGGGACTGAACTGCTGGGCAGAGGGCTGTGGGAACCATGGTCTCAGGGAACATCTAGCTCAACTGGCGTAATACAGTTTATAAAGACAATGTTCTACATTCTACGTGGGTGAGTAGTATCTGCGGTCTTAAAAGCCTGTGAGCAGCCATCTAAGATACTCCACTGGTCTCACCCCTTTGGAAGCAAGAGAGAATGAAGAGAACAAGATACAAGGAAAAGATCAGTCCAAAGGACTAATGGACCACAGTTCCAAGGCCTCCACCAGACTGAGTCCAGTACAGTTAGATGGTGCCCAGCTACGACCGCCGACGCTCTGAACGGGATCACAACAGAGGGTTCTGGATAGAGGTGGAGAAGGATGTAGAACAAAATTCTAACACACACAAAAAAGACCAGATTTACTGGTCTAAAAGAGACTGGAGAAACCACGAGAGTATGGCCCCCAGACACCCTTTTGGCTCAGTGGTGAAGTCACTTCTGAGGTTCACCGTATAGCTGGGGTCTGGACAGCCCCATAAAACAAAATGGGACTAATGAGGCACAGCAGTCCAGGAACAAGGACTAGAAGGCGGAAGGGGACAGGAAAGCTGGTGGTAAGGAACCCAACGTTGAGTAAGGACATTGTTTACATGTAGTGGAGTTGTTAACCACTGTCATAGGGCAACATGTGTACTGTTTAATGAGAAACTATTTTGTTCTGTAAACCTTCATCTAAAGTGAGAATAACGGCACAATTGGAAGAGCAAAGTTGATGTCACTGAACTGTGCATGTAGAAATTTTTGAAATGGTGTATCTTTGGCTATGCATATTTTCATCAAAAAAAAAAAAAAAGGTCGAGAAGGGAGAGGATTGACATGTCGTGGGGTTGTTAACCCATGTCCTTAAAACAATATGCGTACTACTGTTTAACGAGAAACTATTTTTTCTGTAAACCTTCACCTGAAGTACAAAAAAAAAAAAGAAAAAAAGAACCACATATGTGTAGAGGAATATCCTCTGACAATGGTGCTTCTTAGGATTTATACCTTGACTTCTTCTGCCACATTGTATGTTGTACAACAAGCACAGGGCCGGGACTACACAGCTTATCTCCCAACAAACAATATTTCGCCTCATCCCTTTATGCTAACAATCACCCAGTTCTCTGTGGTACTCACCATTTCCTGCCTCCAACCTCTTGAAGTCTAAGTGAATGTCCTCTTTACAGCCTGAGCCCAGTTAAGGCAAGAGGAATGGAAGTGGATACAAGGCCACTAAGCAGTCTGGAAGCAAATGAATAATTGTCTACACAGGCAGTCTGCAGCTGGAATCCTTACTGGTGATTTAGAGATGTGTAAGATGGTAGCCCTTGGTCCCAGGCCGCCTAGACAAAATCAGTTCTTCCTGAGTCACACTTGAGACCTGAAATGGAAGATGAGGGTGCAGGCTGAGGGACACAGTCTTGAGTTATGTAGGGAGTGACAGGTTTTTGACTTCAGCCCTTACCCTGGGTAGGCCTTCCTCCCAGGCTCAAGGCATTGCTCAGCCTTGAGGGTATCTTCAGTCCTCATGCAGCTCTACAGTTTTCAATCTTATGGCAAGGAAATCACAGATGGAGCAATTTCCTCATGCCAGAGTATGGGAAGCATCCGTACCTGGCCAGGGCAGAAAATGTGAACCTGATTTCCACCTGATTTCCAACTGTGGCTTTATCTGGGTATCTCTGCTGCTTCTAAATCCACACAAACATTTATATTTGATATTAACATGGGTGAACTGTCAGAAAGAACGTATTTTTCAAGTCTGGTCAAGAAAGCCACCATAACTCTTTGATTTTTTTATTATGTGCAGTTAACTGTCATGATTTTTAATTCTCATTTCATTTATATCACTGTACAATGTGATCAATATTTTTCTTCTTAATTTTGCAATCAGCATTTTTTTCCCATTGAGATCTTTTTTTTCCTTTCCTCTCTACATAAAGAGAGCAACACAGAGCCCTGATTATGCAAGATCTTGTTACCAAAAGTAAAATATATGGCTTTCATTCTATGTGGGATTGTTATCTTGGAGGTGTGGGGAGCTTTGTGCCCATTACAAAGATTAAATACCAATCCAGGCAGTGATAACCTAAAGAAAGAAAATCAGATTTCAGAAAATGCAGTGAGGAAAAACGGACTCTTTAAATTAATTGATCTGGAATAAGTGGTTATTAGTACTAAAAAAAATAAAGAGATGGCTTCCATAATAGCAACTGCAGTGAATTACAATTCTAATTATTACAAACATAAATTACGTTAATGACTTTAGAGTTAGCAATGTTTTCGCAAATAGGACAATTAAAACTACACATTTCAATTTTCAAATACCTGCAGCTCCTGCCTGATTATTATCTATATATTTATTCCTATCTTTTCCTCTATCTAAAACGGCAGCCTTCTGTTCCTCTTCCCTTCAATAGATTGGATATACACACATTATTTTCTTTCTATATTATAACATTTGCTTTAAACACAAATTTATTCTCTATTTATATTACAAATGCTATACACATTACTCATCAATTTACCTTTCACTTCTCCATGTTCAAAGTTGTGTCCTATAAATCACCACTTTCCAACAGTTGCACTTTTCATATTTATCCAAATAAGAGCACTTTCTAAAATAATTAAAAAATGAGGCACACTCACCAACACGGTATGTGGCTAATCGGGATGTGTTGTAATATTTTGAGTACTTCCATAACGCACGCCTCTCATTTTGCCCTCAATGCAAATATTTGTTGCTCTAATACTGCAAATATGTCGGCTTTTTTACTGCAAGAAGCCCCTAACCTATTAAGTGTGGCTATTTGGTAGCAGACATTCCGGTTGCCTCATTAGCATCTAATCCAACACAGATCCTGTCTCTATCCACGCTTAGGATCCTGGAGAAACACAGGGTGTGTGATCTCTGTAAACTGCTTGTCTCCTATGTTAACCTTGTTCAGCCATATCAGGTTGGCCATATTGTCTTTGGCACAATTGTGAAGGAAATTTCAGCCTTAGAGTGGAAATTCATGTTTCTTACTACTTCATCTCTGTCAAAGCCATATAACAATTAAACTAAAAACTAAACCCCTGTCGTGCAGTCAATCCCGACTCAGAGCAACCCTACTGCTTAGGATATAATTGCCCCACTGGGTTTCCAAGGCTGTAATCCTGACAGAAGCAGATTGCCACATCTTTCTCCCACTCCGAGGACGGTGGTTTCTA